CTAAATATGCACAGGCGGGTATGTTCTCTTGTATCACAGACAGACACAGATTCCTACACAGAATTCTTTCAGTGCATGCTATCTTAATGAATTCTGGAGACTTAATGTTACTTGACGTTTTCACTGAAAATTTTTCATTTCATTTCCTATTAATTGTGAATAATATACATTCAATTCCAGAGAAACAAAACTTTCATCTCCTATTCAGTACTAAGAAAACTGAACACTGTAACTAAGATCCATCATGAGCTCCTTCCTCTAGTGCATAGACATCGGGTTTCTAGTTTGGAGAAAGCAGAGACGAATTCAATAGTGATATGACTACTAGGAGATAATATTTTTACAAGCATGGAGGGGAGCTATCTCAGAAAGGCCTCTTGAGCATTAGTCCTGCTTCTCCAGGTGCTGCCTGCAGGTTTCAGTTCTTAAGCCCTCTCTTAGAACCCAAGGGGTGTTAATCATTACAAACTAGGTCTATATTTAGTAAAGGTTCTTTCTTCATCAGTCACTGGCTGGATTTGGAGTTCTAACGGTTGCTTTGTGGGACTGAAATGCCTCTTTTGCAAACCACAGCACCCAAATGGAGAGAGAGAACAAAAGGGAATACCCTGCCACAGAGGCAGGGTGGTATGGGGGGTTGGGGGTGGGAGGGATACTGGGATCAGTGGTGGTGGAGAATGGGCACTGGTGGAGGGATGGGTACTCGATCATTGTATAACTGAAACCCAAGCACCAAAATTTACAAGTCTACAACGGTACCTCATGGTGTTTCACTAATAAAAAGTTTTTTTTAAAATGTCTCTATTTGGCCTGGGGAGATAGTTTAGTGGACTAAGCACATGCTTTGCATGCAGAAGCCCCAGCATGCAAACTGGGTTTGATCCCAGCATTAATATAGCCCCCATACACGGCCAGAAATAAGCCCTGGACACTGAGTTGTACCTTGCAGAGAGAAAAGTGCCTCCATTCCGTCCCATATGGTGGGTACATGGATGTCCCTGCACTTGTATGGCATAGAGGCAGCTCTGAGTGAATCCCTCAGTGGGCGTTGTGGAAAAGCTAACGCTTCCGCTGACATCAGCCTCAGTCTCCATTTGAATCCCCCTGCAAGGCTGACCAAAGTTACACAGCTGCCTATGCCCCAAGAACAGCAGTAATGAAGGGAACCAGTAGGATTTGGTCTTAGTCTGAACTTGAACCACAGAACCAACACTGAGAAGAAAGCCAGCCAATGCACTTCATCGAGGCATTGTTCCTCAGAGCCCCATTACTCCCTGGCTTGGGAAGCGTTTTTCACCCATGCAGCACTGAAGGGAAACAGAATGATTTTTCCATCACTTCTCATGAAACAGAAGTCAAGACACAATAAAATATACACTGTTTGAAAACAGAGCCCCAGCATACTGTGGGAAAAAGAAGAATAGGTCATCTGACTTAAAGAGAAGTTATTTCTGCAAATGGAGTAACAGCAATGAAGGCAAAAGGTTCCTGGCTTGAAGAATTACTGGTAAAAATGTCTGCTCTCTTAGGTTCTGTATCAGATAACACCTAAAATAGCCAAAGTCTATTTTGAAAGAACCGGGTAGAGTTAGAAATTCCAAGTCTCTGAAAGACTGTTGGAACAGGGAGGACGAAATAGCTACTTAACCAAATTTCAGTTTGCACTGAGAGATTCTGGGGTCAGCCATAGTGGGGTATACCTGCAACACTCCTTTCTGTTATGGTAATTCATTTGAATTCCTCTGCCTGTTTTTTTTTCTGACCGATTCAAAAAGGAAGACCCTTTTTATCTAGGTGCGCCCAATGAACATGGAAGGAAATTTACAAATAGCTTGTCAGAATTCTTATGAGGCAAATTTCCCCAGATCAGAGATTCCCCCAAAGTGCCCTGTTAGTGAAGAATAAACGAAGGGGGTGATGACACTGGTAGTCTCTTTGCCATCCCTGCATGCTTTTCTGAATGGTGACACCATTTAGGATTGATTTATGGTGCTCAGACCAGCCGGTAAGCCTGAGTTGTGTAAAGGTTGAGGTTGGGAAGCTGTTTCCTGCTTGCATCTATCATCTGCATCGGCAATATCATTTGCAAAGTCAAAACCGTTCAGGGCACACCTAGAGTACCCGAGGGAGCACCTCGAATGGGTAATGAATCCAAACTCACTTTCCGGCTGGCTCACATGACAAATAGTCTAATACAATGATGAAGAACACTGAGGATATGCTATATCCCCTCCGTGCACATTCCAGTTAATTTCCCAGAAGCATACACAAGTAATGCAGGTTCCAAGCTCAGAGTTGTCTAGGGTGACAGATGAAGAGGTAGTGGGGGGTTTTGTGTTTTGTAGGGTGGGGGAGGGGAACACAGGAGGAGTTTGATTTTCTGGTCTCTCCTGTCAGTGAGTTGGAATAAGAGGAAATGGCAAGGGCAGGAAACCTCCCCTCTCCAAGGAACTTAATCCAAAGACAAGGTCTGACACAGTGAAAGGTGTTTAGTATGCTAACAAAATGCTGCATAATGTGGCTTTAGAGCACAGACAGAATTGATAAAAGAAATTGGGGCCATCATGCTGTGCTGAAGACCCCATGCTGTGCAGAGCAAAGGCAGCTAATATTTTACAGAGCTTGATGAGGTTGGGGGAGTGGATTGGCAATGTGGGCTCAGAACTGCCAACGTCTCTGAAGCTGCGCAAAATGATGCAGTTTGATCTTACTGCTAACTGGCAGGGCGACTGGAGTAAATCTTTGCCCCTTTTTTTCTCTACCTTGAGAGGGGAAAGTTTCTCATTGATTAATCATGTTGTTGCAAATCTGAGTTGCAGATACCAAACACTGAATCCCTGCTGTGGCTGAGAACCTGAGACAAGGTTCCAGAAGCAAACTGGTCAATGAGTGATTGCAGGCAGATATGGGCTTCCTGACTGGGTCCAGGAGACCTGGCATAGAGCAAGGAGCAGGAGGGTCCTAATGGGGTGACGGATAACTCTGACTCCCTCTTGTAGATATAGCATTTACCTTATATTTGTGCCTGCTTCAGCTGCAGATTATTTAACCATCACTCCTGAGCACCAGAATGGAAGAATAGGAACTTCCACAATGGAAGCAGATAGGTGTCTGCAGTTAGCAGGGACTTTTGTTCTGGCACCCTTAAGAAAGGTAGAAGGAGCAGGCATCTGCCCTTATGTCTAGTTAATGTTATGCATGTTTAATTTAACAAGAGACCTTAAATTATCAATCAGAAACTACTCTGTGTTCTCTTGAAAGTAATGTCATATGCTGACATCTATCTATCCCTCATACTGTCAATTCAACAACTATTTATTGAAATCACAAAAGCATGTCATTCTACAGAAACAGTGCAAGTAATTACATGATCAGTTACCTTCATAAGGTGGTACTATGAATTTTATCCACATCAGCATCTACTAAATCAGCACACTGATAGACATGGTTCTCTTTCGATGGACAGGAGACCAACCAGGACAATAACACCTTACTTTTCTTCACATATCTCCAACCCTGACAGTACCTCTCCACACATTTCTTTCTTTTCTTTTTCATCTTTCCTTACTTTCTGTTGTCTTTTTATAATCACATGTCAAGTTTATTTCATTGCAGAAATGATACTGAATGCAACTTTATAAACTTCCAATTTGAAATATTTTCTTCATAGAAAAGTATCTACTCAAGGACTAGGAAAACCTCTTCTTGTCTGTGCTTATCCAACCAGGATTCTAAATGGCGAAGATCAATACCGACAGGATTAGAATCACTATTAATTTAGTTTCTAAAGTCAGTTTGGGAGTGGTTCTCCTGGTGGAAAAAAATGGTTTTTGTGTTAAAAGAGAGGAAGAGGAAACTCAAGGACTCATCATGAGTCTCAATCATTGTAAAGAGCCTACCTTATCTTTCCTATTTATAAGAGTATATTATATTTTATAAAAAAATTGATTTGCCTAATACTCATGGCAATTCTGTAACACAGGTATTACCTGCATTTGAAAAGATGAGGTTAGACCCAACCAGATTACCATTATTTGTTATTGGCTATAGCATTATCAATTTGCGGAGAGAAAAAACCCTTTGTTTACATTTCATTACTCAAATCGCATTTTTGTCATATAGCAATAAGCATATTCACTTAACACATTATATCACTCTGAATCTTACATTCCTGTGATCTGGTTAGGACGTATAGGTTAATCCTTAGTTTTGAAAGAATAAGTAGCAAATGAGATAGCTAGTAAGAGGCAATGTAATATAAATGTAATGTAAAGAGGCCTTTACATTAGTGAGAGAAGCTCACCACCTCATTATCACATTGCCAGTGATAAAGCTGAGCCAGGGTGATATAAAGAGAGGAAACTCAGAACAGAAATGATATGGTAAGTCTTTGGTTATGCCAGGTATAGGAGTAGCTCTAACTGAATCTTCTTTTAAAAATAATTGAAAGGATGGAAGTAGAATAAATTTGCATGGGAGCATGGGTGGTAATTTCTTAAGTGTTATAAATGCCCCTAAGAAAGTTTGCCAAATAAAATACAGCATATCCATACATCCCATGGAATATTGAAAGGCATGTTTATATTAATTCTTTTTCTGAAATTCAACTTTAACTGAGTATTCTGTGTATGTTAAATGATCAATTTGTAAGAAAAAAGTAACACAGTTGTCTCTCCCTTTTTCTCATCTCTCTGAAAGAGATAAATCTGCACAGAAGTAAGAATAAACTACCAACCACAATCATGACTGTAGACTTCATCTGTGATAATGTCCTGTTTCCCCTGAAGTTAGGAGCGAGGGAAGAAAGCTTAGGTATTTAAGCAGTTTTTAAATACGGAACTCTATGGCATCTCACAATTGTTAGTGAAGGCTGTGTGTGTCACTGAACTTAAAAGGTGATCTCAATAGCCCTCTGTAGCATACCTCTCCCTAGATATCATTGGGCTGGGCCCTAGTACCATCTTTATCCCTCCCCTTTGTTAAGTAAAAGAGTCACTTACTTGTACGGGATGTGTTTGCTGCCATTGACAAGAGCCAGGATGACATTGCCCAGAGCAGACAGGGAGAGGCATGGCCCTGATCCTCCTTCCCGATTTTTGCTAAGAGCTTTCACACAGCTGCCAAGATCAATGAGGTGCAGGCGGCTCCGGCCTCCAGACACTGCCATATGAGGGAAGAGAAGAGAAAAGTGGTTAAGTTCTGGCAAAAAAAAAAAAAAGTCTTGGTTCGTCATATAGTTTTTTTTGGAAGTTGGAGGATTAAAAAAATACCTGGAATAAAGGACAGAAATTAACTACAAAGAGGCCCCAGTAAAATGTCACTGGAGTAGTCCCCTTAAATTCTGTCCTCAAGAAGCTGGTTTTAAAATCTACTGACATGCACTTGATAAATAAATGAATAAGCCCTGTAGGTTAACTTGGATGAGATTTCAGAGAAGGTAAATGTCTAGTAGAAGAATTAAAATTAGATGCCTACATGTATGTCCACTGGAAGAGTTGAGTACACAGAACTGATCAAGTTAAAACCTGAGTAGCCAGTGAATGATTATCTGATTCGGTTGTTTATCACAGAGACCCTGACCTAAAGCTCAGCCAGAAGTCAGGCTGATAACCCCAGGTAAAACCAGGAAGAAGGAACAACCAGGTGCAGAGACAGGGAGCAACTCAAGCATTTGCTGAGGGTTTGCCAAGTACCAGGTGCTGTACAAACACAAATCTCATTCAATTCCTGTGGTAAAATTATAAGCTAAGTACTCACTTTTTTCATATAGGTAAAAAAATAGAAGCTAAGTTAAGAAACTTGCTGGTTGAGTATATCTGCTTTTATCCCTAGTGAAATAATAGGGACCTAAGCATTTCTCCTTCCTGAAACAACCCAAAACAAACAAAAGGCATAAAACAACAGTTTGCAATGTGCTAGACAGCAGAGAGTTAAGAACAATGATCTCTAAAAGACTAAGAAACAAGCCACTTGAACACAACTAATGCCTTCCCTTCTGCCTTGAGAGGGTTTCCAGGTCACGATTCAAGGAGGGGGATTCAGAGGAACCCTGGTAGACTCCCTGAATCAAGGAGACATAATGGGGGCCTAAGAATAGCACAGTGGCAATAATTTGCAGGAGAGTGTACTGGAGATAGGCCCTTCATGTGTTCAACGAAGAACTGATTAACACATACATACGAGAAACGTACCCAAATCTGGGGAATTTGCCACCTTAAAGTTAAGAGGTAATAACTGCAAGGCATTCTGACAAGGCTAGAAATAATGTCTATTTCTAACAGCTACTCTGGAAAATCTTGAGATTCGTAGAATCTCAGCAGGGTCCTAGGGTAGGAAACATTTAGCCTTAGAATACTCACTAAGATCCACTTAACAAATCTTTAAAAAGAAGACTAGACAGAACAAAGCCAATTCCAAATAGATGTGTCTCCAACGTTTAAGAATGTTTACAGAATAAAAAAAATGTACAACATTCAAACAAAAAGAACCAGGCATGCAAGGAGGCAATAAAACAAGATTCATAATAAATGGGATGTTAAAATTAGCACAACTTATTGTTGAGAGGGGTTGGAGAGATAATACAGTGGGTAGGGTACTTGTCTTGCACATGGATGACCTGAGTCAATCCCCAGTCCCCATTTGATTTCCTGAGTCCACCAGGAGTGATCTCTGACTGAGCAGTGCTTAGGAGTAAGCTCTGAGCACTACTGGGTGTGGCCCAAAAGCAGAAAAAGAGAACTTATTGTTGAGAATATCAAAGCAGTATGACAGTATTTCAAATGTTCAAAAGGTGAGTAGGTACTTGAAATATTCATGCATGATATATATAAACATATATGTATGTATGCGTGTGTATATATATATATATATATAGTCATACACACACACACACATATACCCACAAATTGAATCTCTAGAAAGAAGAGTTTAACGTACAGGAAGAAAGACATTGGATGGAACTGGATTAAGATCACATACTACAAAAGGAAGGAAGATACTGAAAATAAAGCAATAGAAACTATCCAAAATGAAATAGAGGGAAAATGTTAAAATAAGAAACAATTGAGGGAAGACAGCTATAGGACAACTTCAAGTGTACCAATGTATATATATCAAATGTCTCATTGAAATCCCTGAAGAAGTGCAGAGGGTGGTAGAAATACAATGATATAATATTTGAGAAATAATGCTCCAAACTTGATAAAAACTACAAATTCAAGAAGCTATATTCCCAAGGGGAAAATAAAAAGGAAGGGGAGGCAAAGAGATCATTTAAAAAGGGGTTAAAATTTTCATGTGGCTAACCCAGGTTCAAACCCTCTTGCCATATATGGTCTCCACCAAGAGTGACCCCTGAGCACCATGGGGTGTGGCACAAACTGCTCTGACAAATAATATATTTTTAAGAAAACATGAGAAAATCTATACTCAAGCATGTAGCAATAGAACTGCTTATAGCAAGTGATGATGAGAAAAATATTCAAAGCAGTCAGATGAAAAAATTAAATTCTGACAAATTTCTTGTTGAAAATAATGCAAGTGTAATGTTAGTGGAATAACATTTGGAAAATACTGGATATTGTTGACCTAGAATTATATAGACAAGGTATCATTCTGAGATGAAAATAAAGTAAAACCCTTTTAGCTTTAAAGAAGCAGAAAGAATTTATAAGAACCTTAAGCACACCCATAAAGGATATATTCAAAAATATAAAGAGCTTTTTAAATTATAAATTTGACTAAATACATGTTTCCCCACTTAAATATCTTCACAATTGATCATTAGATAAAATAATAAGTGATTATTTTCTTTACATAAAGTATAGGTTATACTATATGCACAATTAAAATGCTTAACAGCAATAGTGCAGGTTAAAAATGGGAAAATGAAAATATTTTCTTGTGAAGTTTTTTATCTATACATGAAGTGGTAAAATAACATTTAAAAGTAGACTATGATAACTAAAAGATGCATAATAAAAGTCCTAACGCATTCACTAACTTACAGAAAGTAATAGGCAGTAGCCAAAAAATATAAATTAGAAACATTAAAAATGTTCAAAATCTTAAAGAAGGAAATAAGAAGAGAACAGAAAAGATTCAATAGAACCATGTAGCAAACAATATTTTAGAGTCAGGGAGATAATACAGGGATTAGGACACATATTTGGACCTTTTTTACTTTCTTGCTCCATATGGTCCTCCAAGCACCCGCAAACATATCTGGTGGTCCTTGACACCACATGACCCAACTTGATAAGCATTCCTGGGTCCTGGCACTAAATTGCAGGCCTGTTGGCTGAGGATCACTGGAAGTGGCCCCAGGGCCACTGAGTACATTTCTTGCAATCCCCCAATCCCTCCCAAAAAAAGGCATCACAGAGGGGGTGTGGATGAGAGCCCTTCCCACCCAAAGGGACCCAGTCCCGGCAGCCAAGAACCTCCAGAACTCATCTGTCGCCATATTCAAGGTCACTCTCTACACGTTCCGGCTGAGTCTCATCCATGAGTGAATCCGCAGAAAACACTGGTATGCAGCACTTGTGATAGAAAACTCCAGGTTCAGTGGAATCCAGAATGGGTGACATCCTCCCATGTCCCCCTGTTTCCAGCATGTTGGCAGGCATGCCCATAAGCTGTCTCTGACTGGCGCCAGATAATCTCATCAATGGTCATGATCCAGAGACTCATAAATCTCTTGGAAGAGGGCATAAAACAATATACCATGGCCATGCCATGGGACCCCATGCAAGGCTGTTTCATTTGGGGCACCTTGGAGAGGGAGGGGTGAGGTCCTTCCCTCCCCAAGGGACCCAGCCCCAGCAGCCAAAAACCTCCAGAATTCAACCACCACTATGCTCACGTTCACTCTCCACATGTGTGGGTCAAGCCTCACCCACAAGTAAACCTACCCCTGGACCACGCAGCAGTATTTAAGGCCGCGCAACATCTCATAGCTCATACCACTCAAGCTCCAAGAGTAGTGCACCACATCTGATGGGGTTTAAAGTTAAAGGGAATCCATCTTAGAAGAATATATATATGTGTGTATGTGTGTGTGTATGTGTGTGTGTGTATGCTGGAGCGATAGCACAGAGGTAGGACGTTTGCCTTGCACGAAGCTGAACGGTCGACCCGCATTTGATTCCTCCACCCCTCTTGGAGAGCCCGAAAAACTACCGAGAGTAACTTGTCCGCACGACAAAGCCTGGCAAGCTACCTGTGATGTATTTGATATGCCACCAAACACAGTAACAATAAGTCTCACAATGGTGATGTTACTGTGCCTGCTTGAGCAAATCGATGAACAATGGGAGAACAGTGCTAATGCACACGAGACTCAATCCTTAACAACATATCAGTAATCTCTTATAGATGGACTTAATGGCCACTGGATGAAATACAACAATCTTCACACACTCCCCTCTAAGGAAAGTTTTTTGGAGCATTTTCGGCTGTTTATTCATAACAAATAATACAAAATAAATTATTTTGGTTCTGCTTTGCGGCAGGGGCTGGAATAAGGGATTGAAACATCCAAAATATGGTGGTGGGAAGGTGTAATAGTAGTGGGATTGATGTTTGAATATTAAATGTAATCAAACATTGTGAATTACTTTAAAAAAATAAAAGAAAAAAGAAAAATAGTAGTTGAACCAAATCATATAAATAATTGTATTAAATATAAAGTTAACTGAATATCTTTGTTAAATTGCAGAGATTGTATGATTGGATAAAAATGAAAAATATCAGTCAAAGTCTGGGCTGGAGCGATAGCACAGCGGGTTGGGCATTCGCCTTACAAGCGGCCAACATGGTCGACCTGAGTTCGATTCCTCCGCCCCTCTCGGAGAGCCCGGCAAGCTACCGAGAGTATTCGATATGCCAGACACAGTAACAACAAAGTCTCCAATGGAGACGCTACTGGGCCCGCTTGAGCAAATCGACGATCAACGGGAGGGCCTTTACTTATTGTATACTATTTACAGGAAATGTTCTTTAACTGTTAAAAAAAGAACAGATTGAAAATATAATTATGGGGTCAAAGAGTATAGGATGCTTGCCTTACATGCAGCTGACCCAAATTTGATTCCTGCCACCACATGTGGTCCCCCAAGAACAGCCACACATGATCACTGAATGTAGAATCAGAAGTAAGC